ACCAAATATGTTTTCAAAATTAGAAGAAAATATGAGACAAAAATCTGAAACAACAGTATTATTTTCATGCCATGTTCCTAATGACTACAGCGGGCCCACAGAAAAGCATCGGCCTCCTGGATGCCTGCTAGCTGAGTTGTTTTCAGGCATGACGACATGCTTAGAAGGAGTTCCTTATAGAAATGTGTTTCTTGGAAGACCTAGAGCTCCAACCAAGAAGAGCTGGTTGTCAGGGTCTGGGTATCAGTGTCAAGACTGATACCCAGATAAACCAAGATTTGGAGCCACTCCAGCAGACTGATCGTCGGTAGTACCTGATTTAAGATGCACAAACAATGCTTTAATGAGGATAGTCTAGTACTCGCTCATATTTTTCTGGACAATTAAAACTTTCTGCACAACACCTACCACCACCCTGCAATTTTGGGAAGCTCTCTCTGCGTATCTCGAAACTCCACTCAACTCTCCTGGAGAGGTTCTCCGAACAATTAGCCTGTTGTGTCTTGCCTCTCTCGCAACAAGCCAGGTTTGGACATTTGAAACCAAGAGCAACATGGTTCTCTTCCGATGTCTTGACTCCTGCGTCTTTTCTCACAAAAGCCGACCCTCCAAAAACAGCTGCAGCTTTTAATGAGTGGAATTGTTGCTTTGCCTATTTGAGACTATTAAAAAAAAAGCTGCAGAATGTTCCCACAAGCACTTCAAATGAAGCATGAAGTAGTCTTTGGATTTAAGACACACTAAATGTGCCATAGGAGCTTTCTGCACAGCCTGTAAGCCTGTAGAGCATAACGCTCAGATCATGAATCAAACTCAAACAACAGAGTGAAAGTGCAGATATGAACGAAGTGCTGGTTGTGAAAACTGTTTTTGTTCTCCTTTAAACAGCTGATAGGCGCCATGATATGACACTTGGGCTGCTGGCACAGAGATACGCAACAGCACTACAACAACAACACACACAGAGCGAGACCTGACAGCAGACATTTGCACACCTCTATGAAGATGTTTATAGTTTCTTATCCAATGTTTCAAATATGTCCTGGCTTGAATTTTTTTTTTTGTCCTGAATTCATTCTGGGCATATCTATTCAGCACTGTTACTATTGATTCTGGATTATAAACTTCTAATAAAATAAAAAGTAGCTTAATCATCTGGTATTTGATAAATATATGTATTCAACACAACTTTAGTATCAAACTAAAACTGGAACGCTTCAGCTGTACAGATGGTAATATGTAATCCAGAAGTCATTTAGCTCAGAGCTTATACAAACACACATCTCCTCATTCAAAGGGCAGAGCTTTCCAAAGAAGGAAGGATTGTGTTGGGTTGGATGGACGGAGAGGGAGGTTGGTCAGTACTATGAGTCAGCACACACACACACAGGCAGAGGTCGTTGTGTTGCCATAGAAACGGCTGAGCTGGTCAGCGTAAAAGCAGGAAGGATGCCGCCGGACTGTTAATGTAGAGACCAGACACAGGGAGGAGTCGGGGAGAGCTGTTAACTTTTGGCCTCTTCGCTCCTCTTTGCTAATAGCTGTTCTTGATTGATATTTGACCTTTGACCCCAGCGGGTTCAGCACCTGCTCAGAGTTGTTTTGATCTCAGTTCTTTCTGTGCTGTTTGCTGTAGGTTCAAAGTCTGAAAGAGTGTTGGGTGTGTTTTGCGTGCATGTAGGCAACACGCCACCAGGTAGGCAGCTGTAAATTTAAAGTGACTGAGAGAATAGCTGATGTGTTCCAGTCAGCTGTTATGGAGAGAAAACATATTTGGAACAAAGGGCAAAAGTAAATTTCAAGCACTGTTCAAACTGTAAAGCTCATGTAATAGACCTCCATCGGAAATGCTAACAAGAATGCTATTTTCAGCGAGTGGTTCTTAGTTGAGTGTTTGCTTATAGAAATGCTCATTTCCACCAAACACAAAAATGATTATTTGCTTGTCAACCATCTGTAAAGAATTTAAGCATGCAATGTATGTTTTCAGTTTGTTTTTGGCTTCCTTTTAGTGTCTCAGTATTACGTTTAATCTACACTTATTTCTGAGTACTACACAAATTGTCATTGTTATAGAACGTCTGATAGAGTGCTAACAGTAGCACAGTTAGCCTTTGGTTTGCATGTTAGCATGCTAACAAGTGTAGCTGAAGATAACAATGTTGTAATATGTCTTTATCACTAAATATTTACTTGGGAAAGTACTGCATTATGACCCGATGATTATACTTGGCACAATTTGACAGCTATTATTATATTGTGCTGTTTCCTAGATGTGATGCTAGGGCTAACACCATGACTCTGATGATTCTGCCCTATGAGCCCAGAGCTGCATAAACCGGATATGTCGCTCTAAAACAGTCATCTGGATACATCATTAATGTAGTGGAGGAAAAAAAACATGATAATCCATCTATCTCTGATCTATTTAATAAAAGTAGTGGATTGACAGAATTAGCCACTTTTCTAACTAACAGTCAGTTTTATCTTATGTTATTCAGCTTTAACGGAGCAAAAACTTTAAAATGTCAAGGAAAAAGCTTGCTAATTATCCTCAGATGTAATCTGATGGGTTTCCTTCTCTTACCTTATAATTTAGTAGATAATGTATTTGAGGACTTTTTTACATCACCTTGTGCTCCCTGTAACTGTGAGGTCTGAACGTAGTTGTTAAAACATCAGTATTATGAGCATAAAACCAAATAATTGAGAAAATGGTCAGATAAAGAATAAAAAAAAATATCTAAAAAGGGAAAAGATATGTTACCATTCTGTCATCCAGCTCTAAAATCTGTGTTTTCTGCTAAACCTAATTGTTTGTTTTGACATTATTAATGAAAGGTGTTGAGAACATGCAGAAACCATACTCAGAACATCTTGGGCCAAATACATTTTCTCTCCATATATTAGAAATGAAAATGAAAATACAATACTGTACCTCTCCTTGCAGCATTCCCAATATTCCCAATTCAAGAACCCAGTGAATGCACAGAAAGCGCCACTTAAACATTTAAGAAACAAGTTTATTGAAATAAATTCTGCTTTAAAGTGTTAAAAAGAAAACAAAACACTGTACAATTATGTCCCCATAGAAAAGTACATGAGAGTACACGACTGAGCAGGTGTGCACAGACTAGATGTGGCTTTAAATTCTAGTATGATGCCTGCATGTCAACAGGCTAAATGTTAAACCAGCAGGAGCGCTAGCAAGCTGCCAACAGCAGCAGGGACTCTGCGGGACTGACGAAAGGAACAGTTTCTCTGCTTCGCGTGTTCATATATATATATATATATATATATATATATGATGTTGAAACTGATGATCGCAATGACAGTGAAAATGCAGGTGTGTGTGAGTCTTTGGTACATCTTTTCAAACAGTCAACACAAGTCTTTAAGAAGCAAGTAGAACAATGAAATGGCCTTGTTAAGCTCACACGAGACACACTGTAATGTTGCAAAATAAACAGCAGATGAAAAAGCAGAAACAAAACAAAATGTTTCACATTCACATGTATGTACAGTCTGAACATCACTACAACACCTTAATCTGATTGTCTGGTTTTTTCGGCGCATGTGACATTTTCACTTTTCACAGCTGCAGGTCCATCAACATGAAGCCACAAAACAGCCGATGTGGCGTGAACGCTCATCACAATCACACAGTTAATGGCCCACATCTCACAGACCCCCTCCCAACTCCCCTTTTTGTACATTAAATAGAATAAAGCAAGGCACTCTGGGTAAAAGAAGGCAAAAGCGGGTGCCTGGAAAATTACCTGCCATTAATCTGTGCAAACAATTGCCTTTTGAGCCCCTGTGATTGGGAACACAGCTAAATTAAAAGTCGTCTTTCAGCTGACCTGACAGGAAGCGTTGTGGCTCGGAAACGGTCGTATTTAGTTGTAGTGTACCTTTTCCTTCATAGCGTAGAGGCTCTTTATAACCCCACTCCCTTAGCCTTCTTATTGCCTTTCTTCCTTTCTTTCTTCTTTGCTGCTTGGCTCCCTGACTGAGCTGAAATTACCTTAAATTGGTCTGAACTGGATGGAAACACTAAAGTGCTGCTCAGTCAGTCTACTTTCTGGCAAAAGAAAGCTAAGAAACAATAAAAATTGGTTAAAAAAAAAGAACGAAAACTAACTCAGGAATTCACAGTCACTCTTTGTCACACTTCAACAAGCTGATCCGGCCATAAAGAGCAGCTTTAAGCCTCAAGTCAGCTCTCCAGACAAAAAAGAAAAGAATAACACATTCAGACATAATGAGGATGTCAGCATGAACCTTTCAATGGGTGCTCAAAGAACTCCAAGAACATTTGCGAATAATAAAATGGGGAAAACTCATAATGTCCTTCATTTAATCCACCATAAAAAAAGGTAAAATGAAACACAAACAAATGAAAAACACAGATGCTAAGGACAGACCCATATGGGATTTCCAAGTTGAACAGGGGGCTCAATCAAACGTATGCTATCAAACTTGGGTTTACATAACATCATAAGTAATTCTTTGAAATATCACATATTTCGCTATAACAGGAACTTTTAATTAAATTCTGCAGATTAAACATTTGAATGCAAGGCTCGAAAACATCATCCAAAAAAAACCCAAAACCCATTACCTCAAACATAAAAATCCTCCATAAATGTGTTTTAGATCAACAGAGTCCATTTTAGGAGGGAGGTTACTGTAAGGAACTGACAAATTGGTAAGCCCATATTTGGTCTAGCCCTGCAATCCTTCATTCTGTGGCTTTGTGGTGTCCATGTTGAAGTGAATACCCAAAACTGAGCAGAACAGAAGACAAATGGTGAACAGAACCAAACTTAAAATAAAAGGAATCACAACTGTGAGGAGGTGGGTGATGTGCAGGGAAATCAGTGCAGCTTTGGTGGAATAACATTGGCTTTGCCAAATAAGTCCCAGCGTGACTACCACACCCGGTTGGTCCAATAGATTTCCCTGTGGTACACTGCTGTGTTTGCGTAGTCTCCTACCTGTTTGTTGCTGTATTTGGGTGGGTTGGCCTTGTAGCTGTAATCCGAATATTGGTCGGAGCCAGTAGAGTTGTTGTCGCCCGTCCCCACGAAGGTGTTGGTGGCAGGGAGGTCCTGAACAGCCTGGTGCTTCTTGGAGGCAGACGGTGACTGTGGCTGCAGCTGGATGGATGGTAGCGGGGAGTTGGAGCGGTAGTGGCGCCCCAGATCAGGGCTCCCTGGTGGATAGTTAAGGGGCAGGTGGATTCTGGGACTGTCATTGACATTCTCATTGATTAAGTTGAATTTGAGGCCTTTTTGTAGACTGGCGTCCTCATCATCTTCTCCTGTCTTAGCTGGTTTTGGAGCCTTCCCCTTTTTGCTCTTTTTCCCTTTGCCATTTTTAGGGCCCTGCTTTGGGGCATACAGGTCCTTACTCTCCTTCTTGCCAGCCTGGTAACCACTCTTGGTATCCTTCTGTACCCAGCGTCTGATGAGGACCACGGCAACTATAACTAAAATGACAACAGCAAAACCGGCAAGACTGCCGTACAGAATATTGCTTTGCTGAGAATAGGCATAGTTGGGATCTCCGGCAATGTCCCTGTCCAAAGGGGTGTAGAGGCTGTGTCCAACCAGCGCTTCAATGAGGGAGACATTTGATTTTGTTTCATTTACAAAAACATGAACTAGTGCAATGGTGTTACGAGGAGGTTTTCCCTTATCAACAACCTTCACTACCAGCCGATGTAGCCCATTGTACTTCGGGGTTAATTCTTGTGCTGCTGTGATTTCCCCATCATTGGTAGATATTTGGAACAGATCATATGGATTTCCACCTATGATGGTATACTCTAGCTCAGCATTGAGTCCAGCATCAATGTCCTCAGCATTTACCACCTCCACGTGTGTGTTTGGTCGGGTCCCAACCGGTAGGTGTACAAAGGACGAGTTAGACGGCCTGGTAACATATGGGGCATTATCATTTTCATCCAACACATTGATGGTCACACCCACATAGGAGGATCGAGGCGGGTTACCACCATCCACAGCCTTTAGTTGAAATGTGTAGGTGCTCTTCTTTTCACGGTCGAAGGAGATGCTTGACAGGATGGTTCCTGTGCCATTCTGGATGACAAACATGCCATTGTCCTGTTCCACAAACAGCCTGACTTGGGAATTCTCATCCTTATCTGCATCATTGACTGTCACTACACCAACAGGATTGAGTGGAGGCATGTTCTCTATGACAGAGAAGCTATAGCCATTCAGTGTAAACTTTGGGTCATTGTCATTGCAATCTAGAACATTTACCACCACCGTGGCAGTGCCGGTTTTACTAGGCACACCCTTGTCTGCTGCAGTTACACGGAATTCATAACGCTCTTTTTCTTCCCGATCCAATGAGTGATTCACACGAACTTCTCCAGTGCTGGAATTAATTTTAAAGAGCCTTCTGGCTGTTGAATCAGTGATGGTATAGAACAACTCTGCGTTTGTGCCGCTGTCTGCATCTGTCGCCACAATGTCTAGAACTTTGTCTCCTGGCTGGTTGCCTTCTGCAAAGTCTACCTCAACAGTTGAAGGAGAAAAGTTTGGTGCATTATCATTAATATCTGTAACCTGGACTTTGAGAGCGTTAGTGCTGGACAGAGCTGGGTTTCCAGAATCCACAGCGACTATTTCAATCCTGTAATCCTTAATACGCTCATAATCCAGCAGGGTTGTTGTCTGCAGGAAGTATTTTCTCTTCCGATCGTTGGCTGACTCACTTGCAGGACGAAGCTGAAATGGAACATCACCAGCAACAACACATGTCACCACAGCATTTTCCCCCTCATCACGGTCTGACACCTGGACCAGTGCCACTGGTGTACCAATAGGCATGTCCTCAGAAATGTTGGCCACACCATCATGATGTGTTACCAAGCCAATACCACGGATCTCAATGGCTGGTGCATTGTCATTTTGGTCCTTGACGTGTACGGTCACAAGGACCTTGGAACTCTTGGAATTGGGTCCACGATCTCTTGCCACCACAAAGAACTTGAGAAAGTTTTCTTCTTCTCTGTCCACAAGACCTTTGACGTAGACGATGCCTGTTGCGCGGTCAATGCGCAGAAGCCTTTGGACAGATTCTGATGCTTGATGGAGGCTGTAGTCTATCTCTCCATTGAGGCCAGTGTCTGCGTCGTTGGCTTTGACCTACAAGAGTTGGAAAAAAACAAAAGACAGACAGACAGACAGACGGACAGAAAGAAACAAAGAAACAGATTCAATCTTTTAGCCAAACACTGTCCAAAACAACATTAAAAATCAGATCATTTGCCTGTTCAGAATTGCATTTGGTACACTGGAAAATCAAAATATCATCAAAACATTGATCTTTTGGCAGGTTTGCAGTTTTCATGACAAGCAATAAATATTCTATATTTAATACATTCAACTTTAGAATAAAAGTCTGAAGTAATCTCAGACTAAAAGAATGATTCGCCACGCTCTTTTTCATGTGACGTCAGTGAAATACGCGTCATGATTCCATTACAGTCTCTGTTAAATTTTAATGATTATTTAGCTTCTTTGGCTAATGAAGAGTCATGACCATTACTAATGCAACAGTACAAGGCCCTTTATGTTTTCCTCAGGGGGAGGAGTTTGTATGCTGCGAAAGATAATACCCGATCAAAGCTGATTGCACAACCCTACACAACAACATCTAACGGCCGTGCAGCGGGTCATTGGCATCTAATGGGCAGACAAGTGAATGTTAATGTTCCTCTCATTATCAGAAAAGCCCCAGCTCCTCAGGGCCCATTAGGAGACTGAATAGGACAGAACAGAATGAACCACAAGCTGACTTCATAAGTCCAAACCTAAAGTGAATGGGGGCAGTTAGTCAATTAGGAGATATGAGAAGTCAGCAAAATATCACTTAGGAAATACTCGTTAACACACCTGTCCTATCTACGGATCTAATCCGTTTTAATTGCAGTCATTGAATGCCATGGCTGCCGGTCAGAAATGTAGGTTGTTTCAAATTAAGCAGTTCTTGAACAGCTGATTTAAATGTCCCAGGTGCTGCTGATCCAGTGTTTGTACAGCCTTCACCCAGGACAGAGTAATGTAATTATGTTTGGGGTTTTTTATTCTTCTTTTTTTAAGGCCATTATACCTTTAAAGCTGGGCTGGTTCTTAGCCAAGCTTGCACTCAGTAATATATTTCCCTGAAATTTAAGTCCAAAATATTATGATTTACTAAAATACAAAAAAGGAATCTGGCAATGGGATAAGATTATTAGGGCTACTTTTTAAAGAACCAATCAAACATAAGGGATTGCTTCTGGTCGTAGCTCCGTATTGATCCAAATAAGAAACACCCTTTAAAGCCCCTAAAAACACCAGCTACGTTAGTAATCAAAATCTAATATAATGTAAACATGATATAAGTTCAATGAAGATACAGATTATACCATATCCAAAACCATTTAAATCAGTTTTTAGGAGGAAATCAGGGTTTAAAAGGCTACTGCTAACAGAATCTCTGAAGACTCTTGTTTTTCACACAGACTCCAGTTCATACTGCCACATAATAAATATGTTGTTTATCGTCTGCTCAAGAAACTCACAAACTGTGACGGACCACCACCAGCACCATGATGTGACCATAGAAGCTGCTGATCCAAGTCAGAGAGGTTAAGGTTAAAGAAAGCATGAAAGTGAAATTATAATTTCTCCTGCCCATTGATTTCCTTTCCTTTGCTCTGGCCTTAAGCAGCAGACATCACCAAACAGCGGTGAATTATTGACAGCTTCTGAGAATTGTGTATTGAACAGTGTTGCTGCTGGAGCCCGGTGCCACTGTGATGGGGACAGAGCTGCACTGGCTGCGCTCCAAGGCCACTTTGTCCAGGCATACAGAAACTATAAACACTCTTTATCTACCAGTTAACAATTAACCTGCAAGAGCGTCTGGTTTCCTGACTGAGTGAACCAGAGTTTCTGAATGTTTCAGGTGATTTACAACAGTAAACCTTTAATTTATTCCAACATTCTCCAAATCAGCCTGGTTTCTCCCCCTCCACGAAACTATTAGAGAATTTATTCCCGAGGAAATGAGCTTGCAGACACTTAACGCAGAGAGATAATCTATCAGAGTTTATATCCTGTCTAGTTTATTGTTGACTAAATTACATTATAATGACGTGGCAGTTCAGTGTGGACTCTTCAAACCATTTGAGGCTGCTTTTTGAACTAATTAATCAGCTCGTCAACATCATATTGTTTTTTAAATCATCTTTAGGATTTTAGTGACTACGCATTAGGGACCCCTGTCAATATTCTTTGGTCTTTAATAAGCGCTAAATTTCAAGGATCTGTCTTCTGCTAATTACTTGATTAAAGGCTCTAAAAACTGTTAATTGTTCTGACTCAGCTTGTTGATATGGTTGATTAGAGCTACATTTAAAAGAAAAGATGCCAAATTTCGAGCTGCTCTGGTTGATGTCCTTCTGGTTAGCTTCCATTTCTGAAGGGTTTCAGGTAGGCGGAGCTAAGTTCAAAAGCTTTAAATGCAGTGGTGCAGAAAGGATCAGTGAATTCAACTTGGCAAGGTGGGGATATCATGTACCTAAGTGCACCTATCAGGCACAAGAGCAACATTTGAATGTAAAGAAAAAAAAATCGGATCAAAAACCACACCCACACAGGCTCTGTAACTGGGCTTTTCCACACATTAAATATATAAGAACAGAAGAATTGTTCAAAGGAATTTACTTTAGGTTACATTACAAGGGAATATCAATCAAATCTTATTTATGCATTATTTTTATCCAGAATATATATATTTTTTCCAAAAATCTAGCGATTTAAACTTAAATTTGCCCATTTTTAGACAACAAAGTTAGACCCACTGATGTTACTTTTTTTGAGATAACAATCTGGCTGCCTGAAGGTCTAAAATAAGGTGACTCGATACTGAAACAGCTTTAGAAGAGGCTAACAATAATCACAAAGCAGCAGTGTGTTCCTTTAAAAAACAAGTCAAAAGAAAGGGATATACATGTCTGTGTTGCCATTGGCTGATTTAAGAAGGTCAGGGTCGTCAGTCGGCGATGTCCTGCTGCCTCTAAAGCATCGCTCCTCAAACGCACGTTAAGTGAAATGAATTCTGTGGCTCTCTGAAATGCAATGAGCCACATCCAGAGCAATAATACCAATAAGCCCCGTGGATAATCTCATGACTGACTCAGATTAAGTCATGCACAGCAAGCTGGAAGGCTGGCTGGCTGGCCGCACTGCAGTCTGGGAGAAGGGGCACGAAAAGTGGAGGATGACATGGTGAAGTGGGTTTGTTGGGATGTTGCGGAGTCACCGAGCCAAACCGGGCCTTCCTGCTCTGCTCGCTGACGGCAACATCACGTACCGCCGCTCCAGCCAGGGGCTCAAAGGTGAAGTTGAATCAGTGGTTAATATGTGACTACACACAGCGATCCCACGCCCCGCTTCACCTCCGCTGCACCATCTGTCTGTACGGATAATTGAGCAGCATATTACGTGCAGTCGCTGCTCCGTGTTGTCCTGCAGTGTTATCGCCAACAAGGCCAAAGGTTCCACTGCAATGTTCGGCGGACAAGAAAAACTCTGGATTGACTCCTGAACAGCAGCAGCAGCAGCGCTCACACGCAGTTTTGCCTGGAGAGAACTAACTTTGCTACTTTTAAAATAACACAATAATAATCATTTACTTGTGATATTTTAGATTAATAGACTGTAAATGAAAAAGCTCCCATAAGGATGGATCTCATATGGTTGAGACTTGTATCCCTAAATCACACATAGAGGACAATTTTGAGTAAATAAGAACTGTCCTCAACTTCCACTTCATATTGAATTTTTCAAAATGGAAAAGGTTTTAACAGCAAAGCTTTACTGCCAAAACAAACAAGTGACTTCATCAAGGAAGTTCTAGTTTCTGAAAACCTGCCTACGCAACACAACTGAAAGCCGACGATCTGTTGGGTGTGAAGAGGTAAACATGTTGAAACCTTTAAATGCAAAATGTAAGTGTTTAAAGTTACATTTTACACTGAAAAACATTAATCAGAGGATAAATGACTGATTAGCTATCGATAATAAATCAGAGCTAACGGCTCTACAGATTCAGATAAAATGAATTGTACGACACTGATGTGTGTGCTGACCTGCAGTACAGAGTGTCCCGGTGGACTGTTTTCTGGTAGGTCAGCTTCGTAGTGACTTTTCTCAAACTTCGGAGTGCAGTCGTTCTGGTCGGTCACCGTAACTCTCAGCAGAGCGCTGCTGGCCCTCGAAGGCTTCCCGCCATCCTGTACCCTAATGTTCAGGTCATACGAATCCTTTATCTCACGATCTAAGTTGCCCATCACGACCAGCTGCGGCAGCTTCTCCTCCGCGTCCACGGCGACCTGCAGGCTGAAGAGCTGGTCAGCGCCTAATCCGGTGCTACTGCTCAGAGAGTAATCTGCCACGCCGTTGCTCCCCGAGTCTCTGTCAGTGGCCATGGGGATGGAGAAGAGGGCGCCGATGTGCGTGTTCTCAGGAATGGACAGAGTCAGGATAGGCGAGGAGAACTGTGGAGTGTTGTCATTTATGTCCAGGACCTCGATGCGACCTTCAATGAGCCGCGGCCCATTGCCGATACCCTTCACCATGTCAGTGATCGACACCTCAAACTCCAGGTAGCATTTGTCGCCCTCGAACAGGTTGCGGCAGTCTCTCAGCGTCTCACGATCGATGGGGATCTCGGTGGTGTAGATGTCACCGGTGGAGCCGTCGACCCTCAGGTACGGCGCACCCACCTCCAGCTTATAGAGATGACCGGCATTGGGCAGGCCCTGGTCTGTCGCCAGGCTGCCAATCATTGTGTTGGGTGGTCGTTCCTCAAAAACCTGATAGAGGATGTCACTGGGCGAGGCGCTGCAAGACACCAGCAGGAAGGCAGCTAAAAAGAACAAAGCTTCACACCTCGGCGCCGCCATGTCTCTGCCAGAAAACACCGCTCTGAAACAGACAGAGACAGAAAACACATTAGTAAGACTCATGTTCTGCTTCAGACGGCACCAAACAAGACTGATAACTGAGGATCTGCAGAGCTGCTGCTCAGATTTATTTCAGGGCCACTCAAGAAAAGATGGCTAAATTCATCTCCTTCAGCGTCTAAACATATCCTCAATGGTTACTCGCCAGACCCGAATGCGGAAAGTTTTCGAGTCTGAACTCATCGGCTGAGACGGTGTGGGGAGAGCAGCCGAGCAGGGTAGAGTGATGACTTCCTCCTGCTACCAGTCGACTGCTCTGGCAGGAAGACAAACTGAACGCTGCTGCAGGCGACCAAAAATACTGACAAGAGGCAGCGGGTGGTAATGGGCCACATGATTAGAATAAAAAAGTAAGATAACACGTGGGGAGGACCGCACTCGTAGAAAATCGGATCATTTTCATGTCTTTCATGCGTCTCAAAACATGTTTAGTTTGCAATCCAACCTAAAGTCCAACATTCTGAGTAGCCTATAGCATTGAAGGCTGTTTGCAGGGATAATAAACTCAAATTTAAGCTTTTTAAATGTCAAACAGAATTTCAAGCAAGAGCAGATCTTGTTCCTGTGCAAGCAATTCAAGACATAAAGAAAAACATTTGCCATTGCCTTCATCACACACTACTTGTTGGGCATAGTACTTGTTTTCCAGCATAATACAAATGTGGTACAACAGGTTCAGCAAGTCATCAATGATTGAATGCTTCAGGTAACCGTTTTATAACTACACAAGACACACAAGCCTCCAACTAAGAGTTTATTAGTTTTAAGTTTAAGTACATTTCAGACTTCACTTGACCTTGCAGACTCTCAGAAGAAATCCTTTTTTCTACAGAACTCATAAGAGTCGACTCTGCCGTCAAGTCTGAATGTGTTTACTCAAACCGACTTCATTCCTGATGGCCTGGTGTTCATAACGCTACATCTGAGCCAGACTCTTCTTGATATAAACTCTTCTCTTTTCTTCTCCCCTCATTCACTCCACCTCTCCTCCTCTTTCTTGTGTCTCTACACATTATCTTTTCTTGGCAGTAAATCTCAGACAGACACTCCACTCTGTATTTCCTGCTGTAGGAGTTTCTCAGCTGCGGGTCGCAGAGGTTAATCTGAAAAGTGCTTTTTTTTTTAACTTTTCCTCCTCACGTACTTGATTTGGAGAGACTATCTCCCTCACACACGCACACACACACACACACACACACACACACACACACACACACACACACAAACATACATAGATCCAACATGGACCAGCATGCTGAATGGGAAGCAAGAACCCCGCAACTCGGATGCACGCAGTTTATTTTGCCCTACAGGATGGAGTCTGCTTGTGTGTCTGAAAGAGAGGGGAGGAGTGAATTTTCTCTGTTCACAAATCCAACATAAAACCAGGACAATATTATTTTAATAGCACGTGCCCCTTCACACATCAGAATGCCTCATCTGTTCACACGAACCCAGAAAGAAAGTGTTACCCTGCAGAGCACTGTGGTGATATCAGGCTTCATCCACGCCAGACATCAGCCTGTTAAGTGAGACTGTAGTTATCTGCCTTAAACTTCAAAGCATTTTTTCCCCATTAAATAAAAGACAAACGATTGTCTAGTAAAACTAAGAGTATTCTCATATGGTTCGACTCAAGCAGCTGAGCAGGATTTTAAGTGAAAATGAGCAGGAATGTAATCACGGATGACTTTATGGACCGATGATTTCTGTTGTCGGTTTGTTTAATGGCCTTGTGGTGTGGACTGAGTCTCCTGCACAAAATTTTTTTTTTAAATTTAAAATCAAAAATAAATTTCAAAGTGGCAGCAGACCCAGAAGGCTGCAAATTAGCCTTTTATATTAGCTTCTGTTATTCTGTAAACGTAAAGGTCAACCTGGGATTTGGGACGTCTCACACTTGCACGATGGGCCCTAATTATCCATCTCCCACTCGTTTCAAACAAAACAGAGAACGGCAACAAAAACCGGACACTGATCTGAGCGTTCGCCCTCGCCCTCCCCACTGTGACACGCTGGCACCGAATTACCCCTGCACCACTGCGAACGTGTGCGTGCATGTCGGGCTGTGAGTGTTAGTGTGTCTGTTACAGTGTAAATGATGCCCGTGTGTTTCTTTTCTCACATATTTTCTTCAGAGCTGCCAAATACCCCAAACTATTGACCCCTGACCTTTGACCCTGTGATATTTCACACGTCACTGTGGAAACGGAGCAAAAACGACTCGGGTGGCTGGCTGGTGTCCAGTCTGCTAATGCAGCTCTGAACACATGAGAGTGGCTCCACAAAACCAAAGGCTGGCTCTAATCAGTGTGATACATACGCACACAGATGTGACGGCAGCGATCGCTGATAAGTGAGCTTCCTTTACTGTCAATGCAATGAAGTATTTTCATTTCCTTGTGTATTTACATGAAACCTCATGTAAATACACAAGGTGCTGTTCCTGAAAACAGTTTGTTTAAGGGTGAGCTCATGCTTTGCCAACATATGAATATAAAGCAGATGAATGGGATGACAGGCAGTTACTGGGTCCAACATATCTTTCCTTCTAAACGCCTTTAATGAGTCTATGGAAACATGAACCCCTGCCCTGTGGATTATGAGACATTACCCGAGAACAGAGAAAGCAGTTTTATTGAAAACATCTTTGTTACTATAGATTCAATTTGGATTTTCAATTCATGAAAAATTGCAGATAAAAGTTTGCACATGTGCAAAGTTCACGCAACACTTGTAATGTAAACTGCAACACGCTGAATCACAGTGCCAATATCCCCTCTGGGGCCAACATTTTCATTTAGAAAGTAGCAGCTGAAAACATATTTCAGCACAGCTCGTGGTACCTGAACGTGAGCGCTGCTTTAACGCCTCGTGATAAAAATAGAAATGGAATCAGAACATTTGCTTTATTCGCCTTTTCAGCACAAACAAATCACGTAGGTGCGTTGGGTTTCTGCATGCTTGCCACTCAAGGCCTCAGGTGAGATCAGGGGATTCTGTTGTTGCAGTTGTTTCCACAGATCGTGGGGGGTTAAAAAAAAAGAAAGAATTCAAGTCGTGAGAAAAATTTGATGCTAAAATAATCTTCAGAATGTGAAATGATGATGTCAAAATGTGAAAAGTTCAAAGTGCATGGATTCCATGTTCGCATGTTTGTTCACATGTAGTGCGCATTTTTGTGAGTTTGTGTGCGCCTTCCTCGGGGGACGAGTGAGCCAGAGATCGCCCCGCTCGTCCTCTTTCCCACAGTCTCAAGCTTTCTCACTAAGCAGTGTGTGCGTGCGTGTGTTTGCATGTTTGTGTAGAAAGCGGGACAGCCAGTTCAGCTGCTGGAGCCACTTGTGTGTGTGTTACATTACAAAGACATTAGACAAAGACTAAGGACAGTAACATTTCCATGTGTAAGGCTCGCTGCCACCCGTGTTTGCCGCTGGAAGAGGCGAGAGACAAAGACTCACAATAAAGTACTCAGAGGGATTGAGGGGGGGGGGGCGTGTCCAGACAACAGCACTCATACATTACAAAGCAGCTTAAAGGCCCTCGGACCACCTCCTGTGAGTGTGTGTGTGTGTGTGTGTGTGTTTAGTGTTAATATTCAGAGTGTGTCTCCATGTTAATGTCCCACCTGCATACCCGTGGAGTCACAGCTGCATTAAATTACCACCACTGTAAATGCCACATTATGGTTTTTGCCCCCTCTCTACGCCTCGCCCCCGGGTGCTCTCATGCCAAACTTGGTACGAATATCTCCAATATGCACGTAAAACAATTACAAGTGTGTCGTAAAATTGTAAGTTCAAACGCAGCTGCAGCTGAGCCATAAACTCAGTCTAAACATAGTATTTTCACCGCAGTTTATTAAGTCGATAAAATGCAGTAACGTCATCGATGAAAAATCGTGTTTTATTTAAGTAGCAGTTTGAAAGCAAAAAAGTAAAACGTATTTCCTCCTGAAAGATGACAGAACAGATCAGCTAACTGACTCCAGTCGGAGCGAAATGCTTCAAGACAAACACGCTTCTTACTCTTTGAAAGCTTTAGTGAATGTGCAGACTATTAAGTAATATCACTTATTATATGATTCATTTGATTTAGAGTTATAAGAATACCTTTAAATTATGACTTGAATTTCTTTTTTGAGTACTTACTTAAATATCTGAGTACTTCTCAAACTTTTAAAACCTTTAAAAACTGATGTAACACTTTCAAAATTCTGCGTACAGTAACGGGTCGCTGGATAAAATCAGGACAGATAATTAGAATCATAAATCAGTGACAAAATAAAATCCATTGTGATGAAAATCAAACTAGAATAAAACGCTACTTCAGTGTTTGCCAAGGGAAATTCTTGACTGGTCTCTGTGGTTAAATGAATTTATATCAATGACAGTCACAGTTCCAAACACAAAACTGCAACATATTTCATGTAATTTCAGAAAATGTAACAAAAAATGATCACAGAATTTTAAAAAATGCTTTTTGTCATTTGCTTTAAAAGAAATCTATTTTGAAAACCATCCACGGACGGGTTAAGAGATGGAAAAACCAGATGAAATGTGCAGTTTTTGCTAATCCTGTTAATTAAATATCAGACAAATCCAGACAGCATGCAGATCACTGATGCAGAAATCCCATAAATCCAACAAACCCATAAAACAAATCTGTTCATTAGTTTTCATGTATGAAAAATAAAAGAAATAAAATAGAACAGAGTAAAAAAGGTGGCTAGCAATATATATATAAAAAAACACGACTGCACAAGAACACACTGAACTGCAGACACAACTTCTAGCACATAAATTGGACTACTGACCTTAGCGCTGTTCTGCAGAGCCGGTTAAACTTTAAAGATCCTGTGACTTGAGCTGTTCAGCTTGTCTGTGCTCCCTGGTGCATCTGCAGGGATGAGCTCCCGCTGCACGAGTGGGCGTATCTAAAGAATGGCATTTTCCAACCATC